TTTATCTATATATTTTTGCGCTGCTGATGTACTTCTTCTCAAATAGCATTCTATATTCAACGAACACTGGATTGGACTGGTAGTGCTGATACCAGAACGCTAATGGCTCAATTTTTAAAGTTTCGCTTGTTGGAACTTTTCAATTTGTTAAAATCAATGAACTGCAAGGTTACTATTATTGCTCGTACGTAATCTATCGAATCTGAAACAATTCTTAATATCGAACACATTTGATTACTTAACGCTTCTAGAGACTGTGCAAGAACGACGACAGTGTAAAACACTGTGAAACAAAGATCACATTAAATAAAAAACAAAAAATTCGAATTTTTCAAAAATTGCTATTTCAGGGAGTCAAAAGAGCAAAAGACGTCTTATTGGATAAACAGGAAAATCTTTTCCCTGCTCTGAATTCTATTTTCTATTTTTCACAGTGAGTTTTAGGAATAAAAAGCAAAAGCCTAAGAACGTCCGTTATCGCAGCTGGCCATGTCTAACCGGATCCCCGAACAGCGTCTTCTCGTTGTACAATAGTACTTCGGACAATGAGCCTATAAATAATTGTTCGATTTTTAGATTCAAGATGACAAATTTGTGTCGTCTTGTAGGTCTTTCGTCGATTTGAAGGCAAGTGATCTTTTTCACTCGTTTGAAGCGCTAATTGCACTTCGTATAGACGCGCGTGGTCAGGTTGGAGCCTTCGCAGGTATTTACATACGGCGATGTAGATTTATAATAACGTCCATTAGCATCGTTGCACATAACTTCGATGTTTCTGTTTACTTTTGATATAATCTATTGTCTGTATTTATGGGTGAGCTAATTTATAAGAAGGCCAGTTATTTCGCTATTTTAATGCGGTAAACAGCGCAGTTTAAATTCAGTAATCCTAAACATGAATAGGGCGGGTAAAAAAACTTAGATTAGAATCCCGATTTCGCATTTAGAACTTTTTTTCGGATCGACACAGCCAGCCGTTGTACGTGATCGGGCTAACAGGTCGGCGGCTACCGCGGCCGGCTGCGTCAATTACAGCCATCCAATAAAAGCGTCCTACATAGACATAGATTTTTTTTTTGTTGTCAAGTGAGCGACTCTTGGACAGCGCTGTATTGACGCGAAACTCTCTCAGTTTATAGTTGTCAATGTTCTGCATTGTTAATTTGGCTGTCTGCTAGAGAAACCTCTCGGCTGGTGACGTTGTGACGGGTGGCCATCACCACGTTGCCATGGCAAAGTACACGTAATTTCTTTGTTATTATTATTACTAAATAATTTTATATTTAAAATGCTCGTGATAATCGGATAGCTGACGACCGTATTGTCATGAATGGTAAATGCTATTCTGCATGATCTCAAGTTTCTCGCTACAGGAACATAGATAGGTAAACAAAAATGCTCGTGGACGTAAAGCTCGAAACATTTCGGTTTTGAATTATTTTACGACTTCGTACCTCGTGTAAATAAACAGTTCGTCTTAGAAATGTCAACGCACCGTTTTATCTCTGGTGTGACAGTGGCGCCATAGGCAAGTTGGCAGATGACCGGTTTTGCGCAGACGAACACCTAGCAGGAAGAATTGGTCTCTCAGCAATCACTGAATAGTTGGACAAATCCAAGAAAATGTCTTCCAGCTTGGAAAACACTGTTGCATTTCTAAACATGGGAAATGAGCCTATTCTGCTTTTTCGCAACGTTCGAAAGGATTAGACCGGAAAAGTCCAAGCTCAAGCTGCTGCCGATGTGTTGAAGAACCTACGATGGAATCTTTAATTGGCTATTACCAGACTATTCATAGATGACGTCAGAGTGCCGTTGAGCTTGCGGATTGCAGCTGAGTGAATTCAACGTCACTGGCAAAAGTCTTACGGCGATATAAGATGTTATGTTCAATGTTTGTTAATTCAAGAAGCTCTACATTTCGTTAAGTTAGCGTAATCCTTGCATGCACTGCCTTGGCCGTGTAGATGGCTACCTGCCCCTGTCTTATAAAAAAAACCTGGTTTGCCGCGCTTCCAGCAATATCTCACAAGTTGCATAGTCGACTGGTTACTAACTTCTCGATTGTCCAGGGTCACTTCATCTCGCAGCGTTCGTAAGGCGAATCTTATGCGATTTAGAATACCGAACAGTAAATACCTAAACAGCTAAGAGCTGTGCTTCACTTGTAAACTTTATATATACCTGAACTTTATATATTGACCTACTCCTAATTGTTAGAGCAGCTTTTCCCTATTCCAGGTTCTCGCTGGTGCACACATGTACACGTCCCTCATGTGTCTATTTTAGACAGAAAGCATTTACAATGCTGCCTGAGATACGTGACTAATAATGTCGACATGTAAAATGTTCAGAGACGCTATGACTGCCCTGTTTTCCCATAAGCCCTCATTGTCTGGCTTCGTTCGACAAACAAGGCGTCTTCTCGTTGAGTACCTCACCATCAAGCCTAAGAAACAAGCTCATTTTGTTGCGCTGCTTAATTTAGATATCATGCAAAACTAAAGGACAGGAAAAAACCCCGTTATATCCAGAAGTTTCCTTGAAAGGGACAACCGAAGACTGTGTTGATTGTATGCTTTTATAAAAGGGAAAACGTCTAAGGCTGATCAGATCCGAGGTCCCCTATTGTCATTGCAGTTCGTTCCCAAAAAGATATACTTGGCTTAAGTGTAGTCTTTGTATTTTCAGGCGGGTATTGATCTTTTTAAAGGAGGGCAAGATTGTTTTGTATTATTATTATTATTATTATTATTATTATTATTATTATATAAAAGAAATAGATTTTCGAAGTTGCGTCTCTTTCGTCTTTATTGCATTATCTGGTGTTTTGCTTTTGCAGAGCGCTTACGACCTTTGCGTTTTAAAAACAGCACTGTAAGAAATGGTCATTTTTAGATTACTTCGGCGTTAAATGAACCAGCCCCTGTTCAGGGGCTTTGGTTATTCCGCAGGATGTCTCTCCCACCCTGAACGTTATCGAAGAAAAATTCTCAATCCAAAATATTTTGTCATATTTTTAACGGCTCGTCTTAAAGGCAGGAAATGATACCATTTCCACTGGTCCTTCTTTAATACAGTCTAGCTTAATCAACAAGCTCTCGCAAAGTGAACGTAAAAGGTCGCATCGTGATATACATGAGTTGGACAATCAAATCCTACTTTTAGTTTAGATCTTAGTTGTAAGATCTACACTGCTTAAAACATAATTTTCGTAACTGGCCTTTGTTTTAATGCAGTAATATACAACAATATAAATACGCCTTAACTCGTAGCCAGTAAAAATCAAGAGAATTATCACGCGTTAATAATACAATCCCTACAGGGTCCTAGAAGGACTTGTGTTTTGGTCACATCGTAGATTATTGTTGCGAACGGCTCGGAATCAATCGGCCATATTGGCGCTGATTACCCTATTAAACAGCCTCACGAAGCTAGTTTATTAAGATAGAGATAACCGATTTTTGAGAGACACTTCACGTATAGAATGTACGCTAAATAAGAGTCGCCGGTAGGAGTACAGACAAAATTATAAACACCACAAAAGATTAGTTTCGGTTAAGTCCAGTGCCAAAATGAACGTGTCACTGTTCTCGCGTCATTTTGATGGAGCACTTCAAATGTTTTTGCTTATCAATAGTATGGACTGTATAACTTCAGGCCGTCGACGCACGCTCCGTTAATACTGGCTACAGGCCGCGCACCTACAGATCTGTTGTATATATGTTGAATAGAAGTAACCTACTCATTTAGACAACGAATACGCAGGGGATAATTAATCACTCAATAAGTTTAGCTCCCCGTTTACTTTAACTTATCTGTCAGCCAGAAAATGACCTTGTTAGGCTATTGACTAACTTCGCATTTGACTTAACTCGTACATTATCGGCCTAAGCTATTAATTATCAGTTATAAGATTATACCATTTTGATACTAGCCATACGATAGAAACGGTAAAGCCTTAGAAAAATTGATATACATACATATATATGTCTAAAATGACGTCAATGGTCCTGTATTAACTATACGCGTAGTTCGTCTATATATTGCATGCCGCTGTTTGATGGAAATCATTCGCTGCTGAGCAGTATTTGATCTGCTTTTGACTATATACCCTTAATTAATTGGATCACGCAGAATGAAATATCTGCCAACCGCTATAGTTCATAAAAATTGTATACTAATTATTAACTACGCGACTTTAAATGTGTTGAAGGCCTAAGTCAGCCTTGGATTGCGCTCATAGCTATAACACGGGTACCTGGTGAGCGATCAGTGCTAAAATATATATAATAGATAGCGCATTATTTCCCGACTGTGGCCCAGTGGAAACAAAATTCTCAATACATTGTCATGCGTTTAATATTGACTTGATTTATCACCATTATGACGCTACGGATATATATATATATATACGTATATATGTGTATGTATATGGGATAAACTCGAGCTAGTTTGTGAATTAAAACCAATTCGATCTTTCATCAAATTATACATCTTTCTCTTGATTACGTATAGTTCTTTTCAATACCCGTATTGTTAGACGCTTAATGCAGTTGCGTTTCTATTGAATTTTCTGATCTCGTGAATTTTATCGGCAACAGTGGTCATTTATTCTAAATCTGTTTCCATTTTTCTCTGTCCTTCGTTCGCCATCGCCGCCTTTAAATACTCAACCTTCACCTTATCAATGACCTTGCCTTATCCCCTATTAAGTCCGCCGCTTGATGTATGCACTAACAACGGCTAGTATTATTGGGCCTTTCTGGACAGAGAACATCTCGCCGCTTCCTCGCTGTCCCGCGCTGGCCGTTTAGCTTCACATCATGACCACCGAGGGCGCTGTGATCGAGCATGCGTTGTCCTTCTCGCGTTGACTCCAGCCATTAGCAATGAGCGAGCGAGGCAGTCTTCTCTAGCCAATTCGAACGCTCGCATAGACGTACACAGACACGCATACAAATACACTTGGTCCATACCCTCGCCCTCAGATAATGACACTCACACAAACAACCCCACACATACGCATGGGACGCATCTAAACTCACTCACCCGTTCACGCGTCCGTGTGCTAGCACAGACAGTCAGCGAACGGACAGACGAACGATCCAACAAGAGGTCCCTGTATCTTTACGCGTAGAGACTACGGCCGTAGCATCGCTCTCGCCCTGTAGATGGACGTCGCTGTTATTGGCGCTGCAGCTGCGTTCGATGCTGTCTCTGTGTTGATATTCCGCCAGCGATAGTTAGGCAGGTAAGTTGACATGAGCATGCGCTGATCGACGTTGCTTGCCCTGCCGCTGTTGTTGTTGCTGTTGCTGCTGTTATTGCAGCAGCCGGGTGGCCACGGGCGGTTGTCACCCCCTGCCATTGACAACAGAGGGATCGAGATAGAGAGAACGAAATAGGACAAGAGATATTAGACATTGTGGCGCTTTCGTCTACCATCGCCGCCACACAACGGGTGAGATGATCATCATCGCGGCTATTTTGCCCTGTGACTTCGAGGGCTGTGGCTGTTCGATGTGACACGGTGACGAAATGTTGCCGCTGCTGCCATCGTCGCGGAACAGGTACAACGATGGAGACGACGACGACGACAACATCAATAATAATAACAACAACAAGGCAATATGAAACCTACGACTGACGGGACCCAATCGTAGCAGTACAGCAACAAACAACGAAAAATCTAGGAATAGATAGAGATTTTGTGCGGTCTGTCGACCTGAACGGCAACATCTCATAGAAGTGTTCTCTGATGACTCCGTGATTGTTGAAATATTCTAAGCAAAAAATAAGCTTCTGTGTCTATGCCCCGTTTGCCTGGTGTCGATTTAGTTCTCTGCTCTATCGGTGGCTGCCACCTCGTCGCCAGGGGCCCAACGAAGTAAGGATCTTTTTTCGCGACTTTCGCTCGCTTGCCGCAGCTCCTCCCAGTCTCCTTGCCTCGTAGACGAACAATTCAGTTGTCCACTTACCGTAGGCAAGGCCACCTGCCGCTGACCACCGAACAGCACTCGTCGAGATTGGCAACAGCTAAAGGTGTTGTTCCTGAGAGCGCAGCCTTTCTCATGGATGCGGTTAGGGTGTCGTCATTGCGGGACAACGCTGCGAAGATCGTTGTTACTGCTGCCGTTACTGTTGCCCGTTCGAACGCCCACCTCAGCGGATGTTTTGCTGTCGTCAGCCAATAGCTGGTTATTGTTGTCCACTACCTATTTGCCGCGTCGTCGCCAGTCAGAAGTTTGAACCGACAGGAAAACGTTAGCGAGCAAGGCAGAAGCAGACCTTGTTGTTCCCTAGCCGACAGCGAAACCGAACAACCCCACGACCGTTAATACCTGCTGATTTTGATCACAGCGACTGACCGGAGAAACCGAGCGCGTCCTGTGACTGCTGCAGCCGCTGTTACTAGCGGATTTTTCTCTGGTATAACGACGACCGTTACTGTTACTTGTGCTATCGTGGAGTGGACTCGTCGCTCGTGTGTGTTCGCGGGGATTACCGTATTGGTTATTGTTGTTGCTACCGTGTGCTGTTGGTGGTGTGTTGAAAAAGACCGTTGGAAACCACCTGCCCCCGCCCCTATTTACGAAAACGGGCTGGCTCGGAAAGAGGCATGAACAAACGGCTCGTAAGATGAGCCCGGCACACAGGCTAGTCCAAGCAGGCTCACTCAGGCAATAGATAACACAGCCAAATACGAAGAAATTGCCAGTCAAGCACCAGGTGGTCGATCGTCAAACGGTCTTTTGGTGCTTTTACGTGTGGGCCTGTGCCTTCTGGCTAGATACGATCATCATCATTATCATCGTCGTCGTCGACGTCGCCACTGGACGTTTTAACGGGCAGAGAGATTAGGTCGAGCACGTTCGTCTGCTGGAGTGTTCGACAACTGTTACGTAGCCTCTAGTCAATTCTGGTGGGCGGATCGAATTCTGTGTAGTACGGTAACGTTTGACTCCGATCCACAAATACACATCGTTTGATTACCGCAACAACTTGTCGCGCCTATTTGGCAGTCAACACGTGCGGTCTACATGTGAAGTCAAAGAGAACCAGGTGATTATTGCGGATATGTAGTGGACAAATGATCAGATGCGTCTGGTACGTTACGGCTAATTCGATCTGATTTGCTTTGGGATCAGTTAGTAAACTAGTTTACAAACGGTCAACGCTCAGTTCTCTCGCATCTTCTATCGGTAGAATCGCGTTTACGACTATTACGGCAGGTTATAATACGGCTCTGTCGGGCAGAGTTGTGTAGATAACTTGTGTAATTAATTCCTAATATGATTAGGCAGTGAATAGATTCCTAAAAAACTGCGCAATTTTCTGAAGTAAGTGCCTCGTGTCATCTTCGTACGCAACGGTAAATTTTTCTCCGATCACCCGTGAAGGCGCATGTTCGTTGGAAATGGATTGCACTCAGGGAACCGTATTTTCGCCGAAGTAACGAACGTGTAGCGAGGACAGAATTTCGATTTGGGTTAGTGCTTGGTAAAAAAATTGATTGTAAGTGACAACACTGTGTACTATTCGTTGTATCGTGTAAGCTACGTGTTCTCAGGGTCACAGCATCGACGTATTCCTTCGTAGATCTAGGACCCTTGAAGGAATATCGATCAATTTGGATTATATGTTACTACTACGCTATGGAGATATTGCCTCACCTTCAAGGTAACAAACACGTTCATCTGTGTATGTTCGGGTGGGACAGAAGCTTGACGACTTCGGGAATTAGCCATTCTTGTACATGTCTTCATATGAGCTCTCTATACATCCGAGAATTAAACTAGTGACTATAATTAGACGATAGAAACAATTCCACGAAGTCCTTATTTTCGTTGGTTTGACAGGCTTCAGCTTCGGCAGATTTGACTGTCAACAAAGTTGAACCATCGTAGCCTCATACTTGTTAGATAGATATATCTATGTAGATTTGGAAGGAAATTGCCTGTCCGACGACAATGAACGGTCTTTTCCATTTTGGTTGTCCAGCAATATTTTTATAGCACAAACAGTCATGCAATTGCGGACCAGCTAGCAAGTGAAGCCACTGCGCGCGCAGCTGACAGGTTCGCGCATTTCTGTACCGCATGTGTGTATCTCATGCGGTCAATATTGATCTATTTTTTTCAATTTTGTTCTGCATTCATTGTTTTGTAGTCGATTTTTTCTCAGTTCTATACAAACGTGCGTTGTCGTCGCTCTTCTGCCTGCGTCGACAAACACACGGATCGTGCTTGCGTTAAAAACAATCGTCCGCAGCGCTAGTAGCCGCGACAATTTCATTGCCGCACACTCAACAAAGTAGGAAGACCCGCGTCGGATCTTTTTTCGCAGCGACATTTTTTGCTATGTAGTAACGCATAGTATCGTCTGTCATGCGCCGCTGTTGTTTATGCCACGGTTGTTGTCATCATTGCCAACCTCCAGAGCACCAATCACTGCTCTATGTACGGACGATTGTTGCCGTCAGCGTCACTGCCGTACTGCGGCTGCAGTCGATACGTTTGGCTGCCTCGATCACTGCAAGCCGACAACGGCTCTTACGGTAGTCACTACTTTTCCAGCTGCCGGCCGCAGTAACAGCAGCAGCAATGGCTAATGATCGGCTATACGCCGCGCCGTGAAAAGCAGAAGGTGGCACCAGCCAGCGCTAGTTTTCTACCGATTTGCCGTTACCATTAGGGCTGCCGTCATCGCCACAGCTGTCGCCGCTGTTTGTTCATCAATCGTTTTAGCTGTTTCTGTTGCTATTGCCTCTTCTCCTGCGAGTAGTCTCTCCTTTTTGTCTGTGCCTGTGACTGCTCCTGGCGGACTCACTTGCGTAGCGCTGCAGCTTCCCGGCGGTGCTTATCTGCCTGCCCGCCGCGTTGGCTGGCGCCCCGCGCTCCGTTCGTTCGTCACTCGTATTTGCCCCGTGCCGTTCATATTGATTTGCTTTGTGCGCTAAACCTGCTGTTGATATCGTCTTTGCTGTCGTGTGTACTGCCGTCACTCTCGAGCTAGCTCCACCCCGCTGCCGCGTTGCTCCTGCTGCGGCCGCCGCCATTTCGCTACTTGTAGGGCCACCAGCGTCACTCAAGTCGACGGGGCTGCTTGGACACGACGGTACCGACGCTGACCTACTTTGGCTGCAGCAGGGATTCGACTACCTACCTCGTTTATTATATTCCCCACTACGGTAACACGTGGCGATCTTGATCGACCTAACGCGGCCTAGCCCGTTTCTGTTAAATTCTGTCAACAAAAACGAGGTAGCGCCTGATAACAAAGCAGCGCAGCTTATACTCCCATAACAGCGCCGGCAGGAACAGTGTCGATTCCAGTAGAACGCAATGCCATGTCCGACCCGTACGCATACCCTATTCGCTGTCTGCATTTCAATCTAACTTAGCCAGCTAGCAAACCATTCAGGTAAGCGAGTGTAGACAACGCGTCTTTCTGCTGCTTGTTGCCTGTAATTTTCTTTTTCGTGGTGCAGAAGGTACGACGATGGCAAACGCGGCTAAAGGAGGGGCAATCGAGCGGGAACACTGCTGTCACCAGCGGTTCCCGCTGCTGGAGCTCATAGTCCTGCGTTTACAACGGCCACCGTTGTCAAAACCAGTCAGAGCATCAACTTCCACCACGGTAATGACACGGTTATTGCTTAACGCAGCGCCCTCGAGTGTCTCTGCAAGTTGAGGGAGTAAACATAGGAAGCCGTTCACTTGACCCTCATTGTTTTTCTTTAGGCCCACGCCTCGCCGCCATGGACAGTGGGTGATTGTCGTCTTCCCTTCCCAGCCCGTGCTCACAACACTCTCTGCCAGCCATCCTGTCGCCAGATAGAGACAGTTTCCTTGGTTGAAGAAACGGAACACGACTGATCATCGCTAATGGCCGCTTTTGATGCAGCTACATCTCTTAGCTCGTCGACATCTGGGACAGCATTTGAGTAAGCGGCCCGCTGTGGCTCCTGCTCAACAGACTGATTATGGTCGTTTGTAGAGCTCAGTCAACCCTGATATCAAAACGCATGGCAATCGTTAATATGATCGTCTGAATTAGCTGAGATGTCGCCGACTCTGTCTAGAACGTTCTATGGCTATTGTCAATTTCAATGATAAAAAAGTGGTACTCTTACGTATATACATATATGCTTTCTTGTTATTGTTGGTTCATGTATTCTTCAAGACAAGAAAAAGAGATATTTAACACTGATAATAACCGTACTTTATGTCTTTCTTAATAGAACGTATTTCGTTCCACATTTATCGCGAGGAGCACTACATATATCTTTTTGCCACATGCTTCGTGGCATACGCATTATTTGCAGTGAATGGCAAGAAAGTCATTACCACAATCAACTTAATCGTTCGTAGTACTGTCATCGGTCTCTCTGCGGCACCGCGCAAGCAGGCAAAGCTGACACTGACGTTCGTGAGCTGATCGGAGCGAAGGTTCCGTACATATTGTAAACTTTGGTCCGTTCTCTGCTCAGATAGATAGAAAGTTATCATATATCGAGATTTTTCGAGTAACTTATGAAACGAGCACTACCACCCCGGTCGCATTCCAAGATTTCCAATGTGCTGTTGACATGAAAGAATCAAAACCACTAAAATTCATTTATATTTACAGACATAATTGGGTACACTGTTGGCTGGAGACCAATATAGCATCGTTTTCTACTTGACTTTTGCCATATTTGCCTGCCCGCATAAAAACTAGCAACTGACATGGACGCATGCGATACCAGTTAACGTTGAAGATTTGCGTCACCAACGTTCCATTTGCGAAGGTATTATAGAATATATATATATATATATATATTATATGGCGTACGTGCGTTCGTCCACGTGCGATTAGAGCAGACAAAGGGCTTATGAAACTGCATGAAGTTCTATGCCAGGGATATTGAATCACGTTTCTATCATTAATGCTATCGTTGTACGTATGTATAAAAGGCCCACACAATATGGCGGACTGAACAAACGGTGGAGATTTTAAAACACTTCCAGACAAGCGCAAAAACTCTAGTAATCATTGAGGACAAGAAAAGATCCCGATAGGATCGATGCCCTATCCCTTATTTCGAGCGATTTCCCCTTATTGTTAAATTTAACTTAGTTAAATTAGCTATCTGATATTACAGACGTACACTTTTCATTATTTAAGCTGCGACGTTCTTAATGCTAGGATCTTGGGGGTCGACCTAGTTCAGGCTCAGTTATTGGAATGATGATACCAACCGTGTGGTTTCACGTTATATGAAAGAAACATTTAATAATATTTTCATCATGATGTATCGTAAGGTCGTACAAAACCAAGTTACTATTTCATAGACAGTTACATACGTTGATTGGCATGCATTCTACTCAATGTCGTCAACGCAACCCTTTTGGTTTTCTATGTCAACCCTAAAATACACCTTCCGTGAAGTGTATCGAAGGCGCACTTCGATGCACCCACTTCAAATGAATGTCTCTTCGTCATTCGCTAACTGGCCATCGAATCAAGTGTGTACACAAGCAGCACGGGCCGATTGTTTGCACTCGAGCCACAAATCCTTCGTTTTTACCTGAGGTCACGTCGTCGAAGTAGATAAATTATCATCAGTGATACGATGCGAACGAGTAGCTCATCTACGAGCAGCGAAAGCAGGCGACAGGTCTTCTCTAAAGCTTACTGTACACAGATAGATGGACTCAAGCAGCTCCATGTTGTTGAGGAATGAGGACTAAGCCAAAGTGGGAACACAGGCTATAAGAGTGTGCCAACGAAATTGAACAAGACATGCACGAAGGATCGCTTTATCAGCGATCTGTCACTGCACCTTATAGGATTTTGAATGGATTTCAGTTACCTATGCAGATAATCGTGAAGGCAAATGAGGCGAGCTTCTACTTGCACCTGAAGCTCACATTAGTAAGAGTTCGTTAGATGTAGCCTGTCCTTATGTTCGTCCTACATGCTTCGTTTTGCAATTGGCGATATACCATATCCTTTCGTGTCGTCAATGGGTTTTCACGTATGGCATGAATATCAGAAAACCCCATGATCTACGATAATTTTTTACACACCGTGTTCTCTAAGCTAGTTATTCAACGTGAGACTTCTATTAGAGTAAATACCCCATCGCAAGCGCTTGTTTCTCAATTTTTCATTTGGCTTATCTATATATAGACATTATAGGATTACAATGTCGGTGTGTACGTTGAGCGAACGTAGACTTTAATAGTTCAGCCATAATTATTAGTAGCAGTCCGGGGGCAAAGGTAATCTAGCTATTATTTGTCTGATATATTCATTATTCTTATTTGATGAGCACACTATTTTAGTTACTCGGTACTAAGCTTTAAGCTGGACTTTTCATTATTGCACAAGGTTCACTATGTGGCATCTCTTACAAACAAAAACAACAAAGCGCGCCTACGAAAGAAGCAGCCTAAACGAATTAAGGACAATCTGTCTGTTAGGACTTCCGACGAATCATGCACGTTCTCATTCATTATCGTTAGTAAGTGGATATACAATACAAATTACGTTCAAGACAGTCCTGTTCACTGTACGCGTATTAGCTCTCGTAAGACGTTGGCTTGCGACCGAGAACTGTTTTGAAAGAAACCAATCAGACCAAAATCAAAGCAAAACATTGAGAAGAACGTATCTTTTCTTAAATTTTCGCA